AATCAATTATTTCTAGTTGCAAAAATGTGATGGTCATACATGTGTTGACGATTTATAGGGGCTAAACTTTGACAAAACTACATGTTTCTTTCGATATGACGGTTGAGTGCAATATTGTGTAGATTATTGACAACTTTTTCCCTGTGATCATTAGTGGGTGTGTTGGGGTGTGCAGAAAGTTACCCGATTCAAAATACAATCAACTGGGACAAATTATAACTGATCGATTAGATTTTTATATCGAATTATAAATGGATTGGAACAGTACGTTATCGGATGATTGTTAAAAACCCAATAAAAACGAACGTATTAAATTGAATTATGTAGATGTCTACATGTGAATTATGTTTCCAAATGAAATATATGGATATTTTGTTCAAAATATTGGATGGATTCAGTCCAATTCAAAAAAATAACCAGCAAATATACCTGGTGGTTCACCAATGCATTGGATCAAATCCTATCCAATAAATAACCAATAACAACAGTATCCAATGACTGTCCAAAGTTAACTGAATTGTATTGACTGTCAAAATGCAATATCAAATGGCTGATTGAATTTGATTGAATCCACCCAAATCCATTGAATGTGAACCAATCGAACATCCCTCATACGATTCTTGTCATTTGTTCATTCCTTTTATCCCCTGCTTGGGCTATTCATGTTGTTCCTTTTATCATCTGCCTTCTTTCTGCCACATTGTCTATTTGGGCGTTGGAGACGTCAACTCGGTTTCCTGTAGGTTGAATTGATATTTGCCGAATTTCCCATTGTTCGTTTGTCCACTCTGTGTTACACAACTAAATAATGACAATGACTGGCCTGGAACTATGGTCAATTCCAACACCAATCAATTTCTTTTAGAAAATACATATGATTGATACCTGTTCAACTACTATTTACAATATGTATACTCTAGTTGATTTCTCAATAAAGATGGAATTCATCAAAGTCAAATACCGGGAAAAAACACATGTCACAAATGATATCACTTGAACAAATATCTTGTTCAGTGACGATGAGTATATGACTTGGGTGTACATGATCTTTTCAAAATGAAGGGTTAACTTTCGTCAACAATTACGTTCAAAACGTATAGTTTTGTTGCTGATAAACTAGTAGCATCAGAAATTCTGGGTAGATGTTTGAGATTAACTGATGTCTGACATTACTAAATTAACAATCCAACTGAGTCCAATAAAATAACCATAAAAGAGTGACTAGGATCATACGTATTAAATGACCCCAAACCCTTGGTGATTATAAAACGACCAGAAAGGATAAAGTTATTACTATCAATCCAAATTACGATAACCGATTGCACTTAGACCATCATAACCAATCGTATCATGATCACCAAAATCAAGTAAACGAAGCCATCATGTTCGACCCTAGCCAAAGGTCCCATCAGTAATCAAATTTCATTTGTGGACCTTAAATTCGACATGACTATCACTCGACAAGTCCTCAGACCAATCTTGCTCTAACACGGTTTTTATACTTTTATAAAAACGTATTCCCTGAATGAACGTCATTTGAATAAACCAGTGTTTTTTTTCCTTTTTCTTTTTAACAAGACGAAAGATGGTAAGAGGGCATGCTTACATCACATGTGACTCAATGCTAACCTAAGCAAATACCCAAAAGAAATAATATTAAAAAATAAAATAAAAAATAAAATGTTATTTAAGATTGGAAATATTTGTTCCAATGCTTTGTGACACAAGACAACTAACAAGCTGAAAAAAGGGCTTTTGTAGTATAAATTGGGCCCCACCAAATAAGCCCATTTTGCTTATTGGGCCCCACGTACTCTTTCACGTGAGCATCATACTTTAAATCACTCATTCCATAAAAAGAAAACTTTTTTATTATTATTTTTTATTTTTAAAAACACTCAGAAAAATCAAGTCAAAGACGGATGCTTATTGGGTTGTCAAAATTACTCGTTACAAATAACATCTTATTGTTACATCGAAACATAAAAATGTTGACTAATCTCGCTTTATACGAATTCGAATTTACTGGTTTTTAAGATATTATTATCATCGACTTACCCAGAATAATCACGTCTGAAAAACAAAATTAATTTTCTTGAAAATACGTAAAGATAACGAAACTAAAGATTAGGGTAACGTGAAGCGGTTTTGTTCTACATCAAACAATTAACTATATAAATACTCGATGTTATTAGTTTATTATTTTGTAAATTCAAAACCGTTTTGTTTTACTGGATAAAATAAGAAATTAATTAGACTAAGGGGCCGTTTACTTAAATGCTTACCTGGTAAGTATTTACCTATAAGAGTCAACACTATAATTTATTATTCTGGGTAAAATTGTAGTGCATCAAAACGATATAGTATGCAAAGATTTACCCGGTAAGCGCTTACCCGAGTAAGAGTCGTCACTCTCACTTACTGGGTAAGACTCTCCATTCTTTCACCACTCTTACCGGGTAAGATTCTCCATCATTTTACCGCTCTAACCAGGTAAGATTCTAAACCCTTACCATGTTCATTTCTGTAAAGAAAATTACCCAGTAAGTACTTACTGGATAAGGGTTTATTAAACGAACCCTAAGCCGAGAATTGACTTTACAGATATCTGCTAATTACAAACTCAATATAGTTGATTAAAATCCGACTTAGTTTTTTAATTTTATTGGTTATAGACCGATATTTTTGTCAATTTTAGACATATGCATTATTTTCTCCAATAAGAATGATTCGGTATGCTAATATTACAGAATATATATGAAACTGATTGTGATTCACCAAAATTTTGAACTGTCTTATTAATATCTAACTATCAGTTAAATATATTTATAAACGTATATAATAACTAATAAGTATATTGCATATTTTGAGATGAAAAGAATGGGAAAGAAACTCCCATAATCAAGATTGGGTTTTTGTACCTTCACAAAATCGGTCTTCGACTGGGCTTTTGACGTGTCCAGGCCTTACCCAAAACGTATTATCCTTTTTCGGACAAACTCTTAATCTACACACAACGATCGACGGGGCCTTACAGAGGTGTTAGGTGGAGGTGTGATGCTAAACTCGTCATCGGTCTATATTCTACCTGCAATCCGAACTGAGGACGGGTTTTTGGAGTTAGCTCACCCTCGTGGGATTGACGAGGGGGCAGGGATGGCTATATTTCTGGGAGCGAACTCCGCCCTTTGGGGGGAAGGATGGATTGTTAGTGTAGATTATTTGGAAGATATAATCGGCGGATCGAATAGCGCCTTTTGATGAGAGATATGAGTAAATATGAAACTCAGATTAACCAAGGCCCCAAAAGGGTCACTAATGAAATACCGCATTTAGAAGCCTATTTACTCCAAAATTTAGACAAAAATGGAATTGTAATGCTGGGATCTTGGGTGGTCTAAACCCAAAGATTTAAAACAAAGATATGAATCGATGAGTTCCCCTAGTTTTTTTATTTTCTTTCTATAAACTTTATTAAATCGGATAAATAATATGAATATAACACGCACAAAGGCGCAGATTCAGTAGAAAAAAGAGGGGGATGGCCCCATTAAAAAAATTATATTTTTCTTTAACTTGCTCTCATAGTTCCCCGTTAATTTTCCACATGTGCCCCCACAAATCAAGAAACCAAAAGCAGCACCTGAAAATCAACCAAAAAAATTAAAGAAGTATCTCAAAATCAACCAAAAACCGAAAATTCTTTCGAAATCGATAAAAAAAAAAACTTAAAAGCTCTCGAAATCAATAAAAAACCGTAAAAATCCTTCGAAAATGTGGAATTAGGCTAAAAATACATAAGACGCCTTTGTGTTTAATCTACCTTAAAGATGCCTCCACTAAGCAAAAATCTTGGATTTGTAACTGCACACACATGTATGCATACTGAGAGGTTCCAATAAACGTGTTTACATATGCATATTCAAAAAAAAATCCAGGATTAATAACGATTAACATATAACTCATTTAATTTATTTGTAAGTTATCAACTTTTTTCCTTTCTTAAACTCTCTCCCTCTCCCTCTAGAGATATCTCTCTTTATATAGTGGGTGTTTGAGATTGCTTATAAAAAAACAACTTATTGATTTATTCCGGTGTGACACCGGTAATAAGCACTTTTGAGTGTTTGGATAAACAACTTAATTATACCGGTGCCAAACCGATAATAAGAAGTTTTTGAATAAGTTAAACCCTTCTGACTTATAATAAGTTGATAAGTGCTTTTGTAGAAAAACATTAGTTGTTTCAAATAAACAATCCCAAACACCCCCTATAATTTGAATACATGTATTTTATATTAACGCTTTTAGAGGGGGTATATGTGAGTCACTGAGCGAGTGAGAAAGAGGAAGAATTGAAATGTTACGTGAGTGAAAGTGAAGAGAAGTATGAATAGCAATCTCATATAAATATAACTTTTATCAAAATTTAAATTAAGGGGTCGTTTATCAAACGTTATCCAAACTAGTACTTACTAAGCTATATAATCTTAACCAATCAATATGACTAGAACCAAGAATCTTACAATTGGTAAGACGAAGACAATGATCGAGAGTCTTACCCGGTAAATGAGGAGCGACGGTTTTTACCCGGTTAACGTTTACTAAATAAAATGTTCCATACAATGTCATTTTAATGGATTAAAATCTTATCTAATAAAATAAATAATAATATTAAATTTAAACGATAACGTTTTAAAATTCTTTTATTTGTTGATGTATCATAAAGTGTAAGCCACAATTGGAGGGCTTTGGTGGGTTCTTGCACGAGGCTTTCCCTTTTTCCACATTTTTATGTGTCGTTATTAACACTCATTAATTTACAACCACTAATTAATTAAAAAATCACTTCGTAATTAAAATATCCTTTTCTTTCAAGTTTATATATTTCTTGATAACAAAATAAAGAAAATTGTACACCAACATTAATATATATATATATATATACATATATATATATACATATATATATATATATATATATATATCTAGCTCCTCCCTTTAATTTGGAAAACTAATATCGTCGAAATCATCTAACGACAAAAAAACTTCGTCTAAACACGAAAGCTCCATTCCGTCATCGTTGTCGTCATCATTATCATAGTCATGCTCATACACCCGGCATATTACCCAATCCTGAACCATATATCACAAACGTTACAAAATAAATAAAACCCATTCGATCTTATCATAAAAGAAATAATCACATAATTAAATAACATCGATATAATTCACGTAGATTCATACGTCTATAAACGATTATTTAAATGGTGTTTTATAACATGTATTTTTAAATTTTGAAATAATAAATATTAATTTTTGTTTTTTTTAATTATAATAAAAAAGAATTAGAAGAAATAAAACTTACACTCTTGGAGGTGTCTCTTCTTCTTGATCTAGAAGAAGTAGTAGAAGCATCAGAAACCCTGAATTCTTGCATTATCCAATTGGTTTTGATACCTTCAGGAGCTTCACCAACATGAAACACATAATATTTCTTCACACCAATTCTTTTGCTACCATTTGAACTTACGATTTGTTCATCGCCACCACAAGATTTCCAGAACCCGTTGCTCGTTGCTCGATTCTCATGTGACCTTCTGCTGAAATAATACCATTTTTTCCCTTCCGCCATAGCCTTACCTGCAACCAACACATGATCAAGATTCAAGAACATGCATGCATGTATACATATATATATATATATATATATATATACAGATGAAAATATATAAGTAAAGAAAGAACTGAAGTTATGTACCATCTAAGTCCCAGGGATCACAAGGATAGAGACCAAGATCAGGGATGATATCAGGGTGGTAGGGCAAGAGAGAGGCTTTGCGGTGAAGGAAATGGACCACGAGTTCTTCATCGGTAGGACAGAATCGAAAGCCAGGTGGGAGATTTACATTGGTCTCACCCATCTTAATTTTATTGCTTTGATGGATCGATCGACTTCTTCTTCTTCAAGAAATGATGTGGGGTTTTAAATCAAAGGCTTTCAATCTGGGGATTATATAGTGTTTCAAACATATTTATATACACACACATAAAGTTATATATATATATATAGAGAGAGAGAGAGAGTACATGTGTGTATGTGAGAAGAGTTTACGTCAGATAGAAGTTTCGTATCACCACTAATTAAGAGAGAAAGAGAGAGAGATATGGGTTTTGTATATATCGATTGTGTGTGTGTATGTATATGTATATATGTATATATATATATAGAGAGAGAGAGAGAGAGAGGGGATGTAATTGATTCTGTGGTTAAGGCGGCTATGTATAATGTATGTCGTGAGTTGGGTTGAGTTGAAGTGGGAATTAAAACGGAAGATTTGGAAAGTTAAGAAGCAAGGGGGTGCGTTGATGGTGAAGGGTAATAAAACATGTGGTATACATCTGGGGTTGTAGCTTCTGCAACAACACTTGTAAAACATGCTTTAATTGTTGTACCCTTTGTTTCTTTATCTTATATGTGTATTCATGGTACTACTGTATCTATATCTATATCTATATCTATATCTATATCTATATCTATATCTATATCTATATCTATATCATATCATATATGTGGGTTACCACACAACACTCTGTTTTCTATAGTCTACAGTTATAATCTTTAATTGATCCAAAATGATATGGGGTCATCTTCCAAGGCAAATATACGTAAAATAGAGCGGAAGTTATAGTGAAAAGCGTAAGAAGAGATATGAATTTTTGATCACTTTTAATGTTTTGTCTACTTATGAATTACGCTTTAAAAGAGAATTGATCTGATGCATTTTATTAGTGTTGATATTCAATTAGGATTGATCCAAATGTGGAGGTCTCTTCTTACGCTTCTCACTGTAACTTATTTTCTCACCCGAACTTATATATACACAGAGGGGTGTTATTATACACCCTCTACCATTCATACAACCTATGCAACCTTAATCTAAACCATTCATTTTTTAATCAATGATCCAGATTAAATTCATGGCATAATTGTAATAAAATTGAAGTTGGGAAACACGCACTGCATATATTGAGGGCAAATAAGGGTAAAATTGGAATTGGGGATTTCATCTATTCGAAGAAAGGATGCTAAGAGATTACGAACGCGAGAATCACTCTCGGTTGTAT